CCAGATAATATGTCTGAAGTTTGAGAGAGAAGTTTGGCCATCCTGGCCACCAAGGAGCATTCTGGCTGCACTTCTTTCAACACAGATCTGTTAGCTCTTTTGGCAGCTCATGGCACTTTCAAAATTGTCCTCCAATGCTATAACTCAAAAGCATCAATTCTTCTATGGATTAGATAGACAGAATTCTAAAGTATTTGCCATTGCAGTGCAAAACTAAAAGAAAAAATAAAAGCAAATTTGTTTGTTATGCTACTCCTAAATCTTTCTACATTTGAGTCTAACTCAGAATCACATTCTATAGATATTTATGTTTTTATAATTAATTTATCTTCTCAGGTAAAGGAAGTGTTAATGATGTAGCCTGCCTTAAACTAATTTAGACATTAAGTAACTTGAGTTGACTTTGAGGTTGACATTCCCTGGCTTGTAGATGCATTGCTCAAGCATCTGCCTACATGATCACATTGCTTTATTTTTTTAGTCTCAGTGTACTAATGTCTATATTCTTAGATGGACACCCATTATTGACTTAGGGTCCATCTTAGTTCAGTTGATCATTTTATCTAATTTTAACTGCAAAGACTTTGTCTCCAAATACAGTCACAGTCTGAGTTTGTGGGTATGTAGTAGAGGGAGTCATTGAGTTGGGTCCAACTCATAAGGACACTATGCATAACTGAGTGAAGCGCTATTCAGTCCTATGCCACTCTAACAATTGTTGTTACTCTTGTGGCCATTGTTGCTGTCATTGTGCTAATCTATCAATTTGTGGGTCTTCCTCTTTTTCACTGACTCTCCACTTTAACAAGTCTAATATCTTCTCCAGGGATTGGTCCTTTTGATAATGTCCAAAGTGTCAGAGATGAAGTTTCTCCATCTTGGCTTCTAATGATCATTCTGACTGTACTTATGCCAACACAGATTTGTTTGGTTTGCTGCCAGTTCATTGTACTTTTAATATTCTTCTTCAGCACCATAATCATCAATTCTTCTATGGTTGATGTTGTTTTTATGTGCCATCCAGTCAGCACCGACTCATAGTAATCCTATGCACAACAGAATGATACACTGCTCTGTCCTGCAACAACCTCATATTCCTGTTGGTATTCCTTATTCATTGTCCAAATTTCACATGCTAGTGCATACCTTAGTCATCAAACTGACATCTTTGCTAGCTATTGATTGCTATTATCATCATCATTATTTTATTCTATTTAACTCAATAAAATACCCATCTATATATTAACATCTTCAGTATGTGTTTTTTCTCAGACCCTTAATCATATTTAATCTTGTATTATGATCCTAATGTAGAATTAATCAATGTTCTTTACCCATAGTCTTTATCTAAGATATGTTTTAAAATGGTGGCTCTATACAACAAGCATTGTACTGCCAACCACATCATTGGTGGTTTGAGTCAACCAGCTTCTCCACTGGAGGAAAATAAGACTTTTGCTCTTGCAAAGCTATATAGCCTCAGACATCCTTATACAGGGTCACCATAAATTGTATCTGACCTTGGGGCACATAACAACAACAGGAATTAAAAATGTCACACTCAAAACAAAAATATATATCTTCCTGTTCTTTCTTGAACTTAATAACTGGTAAAATTACTCCAATATAATTTTGTCCAAAGATTAAGGTTTCTTTTACTTATGACCTTTCCCCTGGTTCTCTGTCCCAATTTTTAGAGCCTTCTTGATTTTTAATCTACCTGAATGACTGATAATCAAAGTTTCATCCACCAAATACTGGCCATTATCTTTGGAATCCTATGCATGCAAACATTTTCCTAATGCTCACTGACAGTCATCTCTACGTATTTCCAAATTTCATCTTATTCAATCATGTTCTATTAGTTACTAGGGTATTCACTGTTACTACCTTTTCGTATAGAGAATGGAATAGGCTAAAGGCAGTAATCCACATGCATGCATGCATACATACAGAAACAATTGATAAGATGGCACAGGACCAGTGTTTCATTCTGTTTTCTCTAGAGTCCTTATAAGTCAGAAACAATTTGATGTTATTGGTGTGGCATTGTAGGTTAATGCACTGGACTGCAAAGTCAATTTGAACTTCAAGGTTTATGAAACCTTATACAGGGTCGATATGGGTCAGAACCAATTCAACCACACTTAACAACAATAACAGCAATAACATTAACAACATCTTCTAGAGTCTAGGTTAAGTAAGAACTTCCAATTTTTTCCTCATAATTATGGATATTATTAGAAATATTGAAGATGGAATGGCATTTTTTAATAATTATTAGTTCTTAGATTTTCTTTAAAATATTGTTTTACAATATAAAGAACTTTGAATTAGATGTGTAAATTCTGACACTCTGTAAAATATTGTATCTCCCAGTAGCTGAATAATTTTAGTGATTGATATGATTCTGTGACTGATTCATGGAGCTTGATGCTCTTCTATGATGCCATTGTAACAGAGGAACTCATTTTAAATGATCAATAGTTGTGTATCTTTAAGTGAATTCTGTCTCTAAAATTATATTAATATGTATTATGGTTGATAGGGTGTGATGCTGAAGGATAAATCCTGGAGTGCTAACTGAAATATTGAAGGTTCAAACCCACCAGCTGCTCCTTAGAAATTATACACAGGGTGTCTGTAATTCAGAACCCACTGGACAGCACTTGACAACAGCAACAACATCATATACACTATAAAAGGTAAACCAATTAAGCTTGCTTTGCATGTTTTGCAGTTCATAAAATTTTATTAAAAGCACATTTAATGAACTTAGGAAACAACTGTGACTAAAACAATTTTTGAATTTTTGTCTGTGGAGTTTTACATAATTATTTTCCTTTAGTTGCTTCTAAAAGACATCCACATGAACATACAATGTAGCCTTGGTGCTAACAATGAGGTCAAATTGGTTATGGTATCAATACATAGCCATTGTCTCTCTGTATGATGACATTTTTTGTTTATAGATCAGAAACATAACACATATTTTCACTCATATTTGGACAATGTGGATCAGAGTTCTTGTTTTTTCAGTAAATATCCATGCATTATACAATTATTAAAATGAATAAGAAAAATTAGGACTCTCTAGATGGTGCAATTTTTAAGCAAAATTTTATAGGTTCCTGTAGATCCATAGATGACTGTGAAGTAATCTATCCCAGAAGCAATCATCAATTACTGATGCACTAGAAAACAGATCTACTCTCATTTGCATGTGGTATCAATGAGTTGGACTTGACTTTGATGGCAACTGGTTTATTCGTTTAATTTTGTTTTGAAAGAAAATCTAGGACATAGAAGTGTATAGTTAATAATCCCATAGTGAGCTGCAAAAAATAAAAATATTCAACTGAATAGTAGGTATTTCTTTTTTTCAAATGTCCTTTTTTTTAAGCATCTTAATCAAGTAAAACCCTCTTTTTTAACCAAAAATATCTTTTGTAGATTCTTCCAAAAGCACTGTTAATTTCCCTGTTTCGCAGACTATAGATGAGGGGGTTTATCAACGGTGGCAGTATGGTGTAGGACACAGCTGTCAGAAAATTTTTAAGAGATGATGTATTTGCAATAGGACTTAGGGCAGCAATTAAAGCAGAAATAACAAACAAAAGGAGAATAGCCAACTGTGGGGTACAAGTAGATAAAGCTTTGTGACGTGCTCTCACAGAGCGGATCTGAAGCACACTTGAAAATATTTTAATATATGACATGAACATTAAGGTAAAACATGCTAATACAAAGCCAGCACTTACAGGCATAAGTACAGATTCAAAAAATTGAACCTCTGGTGATGATATCCTCAATATTTGAGGTGCTTCACAGAAATATTGATGGATCACATTGGACTTGGTGAAGGGAAATCTGAACATGGTGATGACGTGGGGGGCAGAATAGAGCAATCCACTGGTCCATGAGCCCACTGCTGCCTGTGCACATGCATGTGGGGTAACAGTGAGCTCATAGTGCAAGGGATGACAGATGGCAATATAGCGGTCATAAGACATCACTACAAGAAAAGCAAGTTCTGCAGCTGCAAAGAAAGTATACAGGAAAATCTGAGCAGCACACTCTTTGAGTGATATTGATTTGCTACCTGTCAAAGAATTCACAAATGATTTGGGAACAATAACTGAAATAAAGCAAACATCTATAAAGGATAAATTGCCTATAAAGAAATACATAGGAAAGTGAAGATGTGAATCTGTCACAATGACTAAAATAGTCAGGAGATTTCCAGCTACAGCGCCTAGATAAATGATTAAGAATAGTAAACCTTTTAAGATTTGGAGCTCCTGGGAGCTTGAAATATCAATGAGTAGGAATTCTGTGATGATAGTGAGGTTGCCCATGTTTGCTAATATCCTGCAGATGCCCTAGTATCAAAGGATACATTGATAAAATCAGACAAAACACAAAGTTCAAATATCCACTATACCTACAAATCAATTACAACCATTATATCCTTTATTCAAGAAATCAGGATAGATGAAGTCATTGAGTAGATATTTTCTTTTGATTTTTTTTCCCTAAATGTTCTAAGATATAACTTCAACATGAAAAAGATCAGAAAATGTAAGCCATGATTGAATTTAAAATTAAATGAAGAACCAAGGATATTATATTGAGTCACATATACACTCTGGTAGCGTAGTGGTTACGAATCGGACTGCGAACCTTAAGGTCGGCGGTTCGAAACTATCAGCCGCTCCGCGGGAGAAAGATGAGGCTTTCTACTCCCGTAAAGATTTACACCCTCGGAAACCCTGTACAGGGTCGCTATGGG